GTTTGTTGATGGCGCTGCTCCTGCAGGCCGAGAAGGTGGCCAAGAAGATGAAGGCCAACGCGGTGTCAGGTACTCCAACGATTCCAACCCTTTTGGCGATCCCAACCTCACAGAGAAGTATGCGCATTCGCCCCCCTCTTCGGATAACATTACACATTGCATTGGTGATGCTTGCTTTACCAGTAGAAACTTGGGTTGGCACCTGTTTGCTACTGCTAGGATACTATTCCTTTGATGCCCTAGAACCGAGATACCTCTACCGGATAGGTGTGCCTATTGCTCTGAATCTGTTATAATTGTTTAAAGTTTGGGCTTCTGGCTTCTGCGCGTTGACAGTGTGAAATTTGTGATGGCTTGTTCTTGATAAGTAAACAAGTACTCCCTCCGTCCGAAAATACTTGTCATCAGAATGGATAAAAGGGGATGTATCTAGAACTAGAATACGTCTAGATACATCTCCTTTTATTCATTTTGCTGACAAGTATTTCCGGACGGCGGGAGTAGTAATAAACTAGCTCGATTAACACATATGACCTGAAGACATGCATATGCTGCACGAAATAACAAAATGTTCTTGGCTAGTGCACTCCAATCAGATTTTCCAAATTCAAGTAGCATCTAGCTAAGCTGGATTAATTGTATTTATGGAAGGTGCCAAGGTGGTTTTATCTTTTTAATTGCTTCTGCACAACCACTTGTACTTGGCATAGGTGTTCTTCGTCAGTTGTGAAATTCATAAGTTTACTGGATGCAGCTCACAGCTCAGGGTTAGAATAGATGCCGTGATTAATTGGGTTTCATATTCTACAAATTCATGACGAATTGGCTACTTAGTTTAGTGATGCATCAACTTGTGTGTGTTATCAGTGATGCTGTCATGAACAATTCTCTTGAAGTACTAACCAAGTAGATCAAGTTTATTTCCTCAGTTAGTGATATGCATCTTCTGATGGGGTTGTGACTGTATCTTGATTCAATAGGGTCCACTCTTTAGGATTGTCTATGATTGCAGTTACAGCAATGTGAACTTCATAGAACTGTATTTTATACATTTGTGTCCTCAGAAGACCCTTTTCGGAATTTATCATACAAATTGACAATTCACATGGTTCATGTTATTGTCCAAACTTACTCGTACATTTAGGATGCACCCTGTGATTAATATTGTTCATGTTAATTTGCCAGTAAATTTCGTTGTAGGTTATATAGTCTAACTGTTGTATAAGATTTTTTGATTTTCAGCTATTATTATGCTCGGTGTTATGTTCTGGTGTAGTTTTTCTGTACACGGTTTTTAGACCACTGAAAACATAATTTGGGTGATTTTTTTATTTTTTATGTTCAGTTTTATTTGCGAGGACAAGAAAATATTGACTGCATTGCAGATCATAGATTGTTCGATATCCCAAACTGTTTGATCGCGCTGTAACTGAAGGGAAGAATGTGGACATTTCTGTCAAAGCTGAAAAGAAAAGGCAGAGGGAAAGAATGGTACTCTTATAAACTGTAAATTTGACTAGCACTATTTCTTATAGTACGAATTTGAACTTTGAAGCCTATATAAGTATCACTGCTATACTTCCTCAACATGAGAATGAATCTTCATGTAATTAACAAAGTCTAGACTTTAGATTTGTGATTATTTTGTTTCCAGATGAACAATCTTTGTCTTGTGATTGCTCACCAAATTAGCATTGTGTTCCTATCATCTTCTAAAGAAAGAGGAGTACCCACTATTCATTCTGACTTGGTGGTGGTGGAAGTGCCTGTTATTATATTAAATAAAGCATTACCTGCTACAGTATGCACCAGATCATGTTCTAAACACGAGTATAACTGCAAACACCCTCTCAAAAAATAGCACATTAAGTGTAAACATGTGCCTCGACACATTCGTGAACATTGTGTTGATCTGTTCCCTGCAAGAAGGGGCCATTGGTCTTATGTATTGTACAAGGTTTTTTGTTTAATGCCTACCACAATAAATATATATCCTCTCATCTACTTATTTTGTTTAAGAAAGGTTAAAGTCTATGACTCTCTGTTTTTGTTCTGGTGCCTAATACCTTTTCCTGCACTTTAAATTTAGGCTGAAATAGAGAAGGTTAAGAAAAGAAGGGAGGAAAGAGCAATTGAAAAACACAGCATGAGGAGGAAATGGTCAGTATATATCACTGGTTTTCATAAGTCATATCTAGTTTCAAGTAATATTGCTTGTGCAACTAAATACCTACTTTGTATTTTGTAGGCATTGTTAGCTAGAGAAAGAGCACGTGCTGAGTTTCAAGATTGGGAGAAGAAAGAGGAAGAGGTTCGTACTTCACATCCTGAAAATAGGATGCAACTTTTGTTGAACTAACATGTGTTCATTATTAAACAGTTTTGTATGTTGGAATGCAGTTTCATTTTGATCAAACCAAATTTAGGTCTGAGATCAGGTTACGGGAGGGACGTACAAAGCCTATTGATGTTCTCCTGAAGAATCTTAACTTTGCAGACGAATTTGATGTTGAGTTAAATGAGCCCTACTTGGTGTTCAAGGTATATACTGACTCTTTATCCTTGTTTGATACCATTCACCAAAGGGTTGCTGTATGCTTGCACTTAAAAGAAACCTCAACATAAGTTTCATTATTCCTTCTACATTTAAGTGCTGCACTCAAGCGCACCATTTTTTCTGACCTATTCAGCCTTAACAATAGAATAATGTACACTTACAGTGATGGTTCAGTCCTCCGGGCTGCCAAATTCTCACTACTCCATGTATTTACTAGTGAATTGATTATCTTATAATCATTAACATTTAAGTATATCACTCCATTCATTTTGTGTGCTATTAGTTTGCAGTATGTTCTTATTTTTTTCTGAAATTTATTCGGCAACGGGGGAGTAAGTCCTTGTTTCACTGAAACTACACCGACACATTTTGTTGTTTTTCTGCTCATTAGGGCTTGGGCTTTTGTAAGTTTTTGTTATGTTTTGGACAAATGAGGTTGTTATTTTCTCTTTATGAGCGTTCATGTTTCCCCGTTGTATGCTCCCTAGGAGAATATGCACTACTAAACTTAATTAAGTAATCTTCTTGTCTTGAATTTCCCTATCATAGAAGTATTGGTTTATTCCCATCTATGGGATTCATAGGTATCCTATCAAGCTCTAAAACTAAGATCCATTCGTACATATCTTGTTCTCTTTATTTTCACTCACAAAATCGTCAGCCAGCCATGAATATTATGTTAAATTTAAGGCCAGACGTGTTGACATACAAGTTCAGTACAATTCCAAACTTGACAAATTTGAGATCTCATTGGTCACCAAGTATTGAACAAATTGTTGCACAAGTTCAAGCTTGCATCTGCACTAAGCCATTGTACTGGCAAGTAACAATCCATCAGCAATTAGTGTGCAAAATGAGAGAAATAGGATCTCCCTGTTTAGTTCTTTCAATGTATTAAAACATAGCTGTGCCATGTGGCCCCACTACCTTCATACGACAAGTCCACATTTTAATGGGATCCATCTTTCTTCCACAATTACTGAAGCATATGTAATTTGCTAAATTGCAAGGATTAACAGTGAAGGAGATGGAAGAGGTACGTGATGACATTAAGATGCATCTCGATCTGGACAGGGAAAGCCAAGTAAATGTCAAGTACTGGGAGGTATATGTCTAATGTCTTTACACACCCTCCTGAATATTATTCTTCCCATAGCAATCTTGAGTGATGCCTATTCCAATGATACACACCGTATTACTACTGAATGAGCTAAATAGTACTCCCTCCGTTCCAAATTATTTGTCGCACATATGGATGTATCTAGATGTATTTTAGTTCTAGATACATCCATTTCAGCGACGAGTAATTTGGAACGGAGGGAGTAGTTGGCAGCCTCAGCTGACAGTATTTGGTATTTTGTTCTGTCATTTTCTATTTGGCAAAAAGATTGTGTCGTATGGTATGTCAGGACATGTTCTTTAGCTTGGTATATACAATCTAACCCTTAGTTTCTCACTGAAACGAAACCAAACTTGAGAGTGAGTTTGTAATATGGCAGGAAATCTTGCTAATATTAAGTTTATTTTGTTTCATGGTTGTATGTTCATCGATAATGTTTATACGTGTTGACACAATTTAATTTGGAACTCATCAGGCACTCATGGTAGTGTGTGATTGGGAGCTAGGTGAGGCTCATAAAAGAGATGTCGTGGACCGGGCTAGGGTGCGTGGTGAGGAACCACCCCGTGAGGTTGAACAGAGAGGCTTGCATGCAAGTATTGAGGGGGATGTAAAAGATCTCTTGGGAGGGTAAGACTTCCACAGAGCTAGAAGAGATGCAAAATCAAATTGAGTCCCAGATGCGCTCTGGAACTGCAAAAGTTGTTGAATACTAGGAGGCCATTTTGAAACGCCTTCATATATACTCCCTCCGTCCGAAAATACTTGTCATCCAAATGGATAAAAAGGGATGTATCTAAAACTAATATACATCTAGATACATCCTCTTTTATTCATTTTGATGACAAGTATTTCCGGACGGAGGGAGTACAAAGCAAAGGTATGTCATGCTTGTAGTTCGCAGTTTTTGTGATAATGGCTCTTAATTTGACCAAAGCAAATGTGGTTTCTGGTTATACCATCATATATTCTTTGTTTTATTTGTACAACACAAGCATAATGGTGCACAACTACCTTAATCTGACCTTGTTTCTGTAACATTATCTTCAAAGCCACATGATTTGCAGTCTGGTTCAAATGGCAAATAGTCATGTGGAGCTGCTTTCTCTAACTATCTGAACATACAGTTGATCTGTTTGTACAGTTGATCAACGTTATCTCTCGTATAAAAAAGTGGCTTATTTCTTATTTGTATCACAGGCTTGCCTGAGGGCAATCCATGCTTCTCTCTTACGGAAGCATCTGCATCGTCTAGAGAATGCTGGTGCTCCTGAACAGGCTGTAGAAGCTGATGAAGAATTAGACACTAAAGAGGAGGATGTGATGCACGATGAGGAAGAAGGTTTAGATTTACTTATGATCAGTTAACGACCCCCTTCTTTTAGATAACTATGGTTGTCTGTCTTTCTGATACCTTTTCCATGTGCAGATGATAAACGATATTCGCCAGAACCTATAGAACATATAGTTGAAGCAACAGAGAGCCATTTGGATGAGGATGATGGCTCCTTCTCGCCCGAGTTAATGCATGGCAATGAAGATGAAGATGCAATTGATCCTGACGAGGACAAGGCAGAACTGGTACATTGTGCTTTTTACAGTAATAGAATGCTGGCCCGTATGGAAATAGTTATTTATGCAGTCAAAACTATCTCATTATTAATTAGATCATCAAATACTACTCGATAGCAATTGAGTACACCATGTTGTGCCACTAGAAAGTTAAATCAACAGCCTATGATAGAAATAATTGTAAAGTTGTGATGTGGCAACAGTCCACCAAGATCTTAGGATAATCTTTCTAGCAGTTCTAGGCCTTCATGCATGTTTACCCTGGAAAAGGCTTAGTTTCATTTATGGGTAACTTTTGATGGTAATGCATCCTAGGACCAATGACTTCCTTTAGCAACCAGCTGGAGCTCTGCCTCTTCATTAATTAGATTTTTTTTGAGCGGTTAATAAGGGAAACCAGCCAAAACCTAGTTCTATGGTTGTTTTGGAACACTTGAAACGATTTTCCCCCCTGGGGGAACCTTCTTTTCTGATGTGTTTATTACAAATTTGAAATGAGGTTGGCTGGTCAGTCTCACACATGTGCTCTGTCCTTTGAAATATTCTCCAGGATCGGCAACGTGAAGCTGTAGTTACCGAGCATCAAAGGAAAGTTAAGGAGGTTATGACAGCTAAGGCAAAAAAAAACAGATGAGTTGGAACTGAAGGCAATGAAAGCGATGGGAGCAATGGAGGAAGGGGACGCTGTATTTGGTTCAGGTGCTGAAGTGAACCTGGATTCACAGGTTTGTCTCATTTGCCTTCTGGACACAAACAGTACTACTCCCTCCGATCCATATTACTTGTCGCTCAAATGGATCCATTTGAGCGACAAGTAATATGGATCTTCTATATTATCTGAGGAATGTAGGAGTGCTACCATATCATTCTTCCTAAACATATCAGTATATGCGTACCCGCAGTTTCCAACATTATGTTGATATGCTGGATTCACTCTGTTGTCAGGAACTGATTATAATATTAATGTTATTCTAAAGCTATATTTGATATCTACTTTGGCAATTTGGATGATAATATGCTTTTACATGCTAGAAAAATTCTACTCCCTCTGATCCAAAATAAGTGAACTAAAACCACGACACTTATTTTGGATCAGAGGGAGTAGCAAGTTTGAGCATCAAACTACTGCTAGTGAACCTCCATTCACTCTCAAGCTCTCAGCTGGATTCTCGCATACTTGCTTAATGTGCTCACAGGTGTACTGGTGGCATGACAAGTACCGACCAAGGAAACCAAAGTACTTCAATAGTGTGCATACTGGATATGAGTGGAACAAATACAATCAAGCTCATTATGATCATGACAACCTGCCTCCTAAAATTGTCCAGGGCTACAAGTTCAACATATTTTACCCTGATCTTGTGGATAAATCAAAAGCACCAATGTACACTAGAGAAAGATGGAAGTGCTGGGGAGACATGCCATATAAGGTTTCATGCTGGCCCTCCATACGAGGATATTGTAAGCCTTTTGCCTCACCTTTTCAGTTTTGCTATCATAGTTTCCATGGAAGATCCTCTTAGGGTGTGTTTGGTTGCAGTCACGGGCCGGAATGTCATGGGTCGGACCCGTTACTAGGCCTCATTCCAGCGTTTGGTAGGCCAACCGGAACAGAACCCACTCGTCCCCGATTAGCGAATATTCGTCAAAGATGCGGAATGCGCTGAGACCTCCAAATCGATGGAATCACATGGAACGAGCCCTCTCCTCTCCCGCAACCCTATCGCTCGTCTCCACAGCGCCGCTCGACCTCCTCCTTCCTCCGTGCGCCGCCAGCCCTCTCCCTCCCACTCAGGTGCGTCGCCGGACCTTTCCCTCCCTCTCTGCCGTGCCGCCGGCCCTCTCCCTCCCTCTCTACTGCGCCGCCGGCCCTCTCCCTCCCTCTCTGCTGCGTGGTCGGACCTCTCCCTCGCTCCAGAATCCTGCACAGCCGGCCCTCTCCCTTGCTCCAGATCTTGCGCCGCCGGACCTCTCCCTCTATCCATCTCCTGCACCACGGACCTCTCCCTCGATCCAGCCTTCTCTTCCTTCGATCTATGTAGACGGCTTATTCATGTCATCCTCTCTCGATCTGCAGGGTACAAGGGGAAGAAGGCAGTAGGAGAGAACAAGGAGAAGAAGGCGACAGAGCGAAGCAAACCGTCCTCACCTCAAGGTACGAATCCCTCTTGGTCTCCCCTTGTATATGCTGCTGTCCAGCACATTTTTTTTGCTCAAATTGTTGTTGTCCAGTACATTATTTTGCCCAAACTGGTGCTGTCCATTACATATTTTTGTTCAAATTGCTTCTGTCCACTACATCTTTGCAATATATGGCGATTTGTAATATTTTTTATAGCATGCATCAATTGTAGATGGTCAAGAAGATGAACAAAAGAAAAAGGATGGTTTATTATACCAGAAGTGACATGGACCACCCAACCAATTCGAACAACAAGGCAACAAGCAAGTGACCATAGGGCCACGGTAGACCGTAGGCTGCAAATTGCCGCCCAAATGTGGGAAGATAGGCAAATCATGTATGCAAATTTATGAGTGTGTGACACTCCATGTATCATGTATCATTTATTGTGTTCAAACCATGTATTTGTAGTGCTGAAACCACTCCCTTGGATTTATTTGATGGCTGGACAGATTGTATTTTGTTCAGATTTCATTAATTTGTTTGGATGGTTTTGATGGCTGGACAGATTGCATCATCTATGATATTGAAACCATCAAGTGTAAAGTTTTAATCCATTTTATTGGTTTGTTTTGATGGCTGGACAAATTGCATCATCTATGATATTGAAACCATGAATTTGTTAAACTATAATCCATTTTTTGTATGGACTCCTGCCATGACCAACACGATGCTAGGGTTTTTGGCTGACCTTGTTGCTAAAGGAAAGAGGACTTCTAGTGGGTTCAGGGAGGTACATCACAGACAATGTGCTGCTGTTTGGAATGATCAGTTCAAACTAGCTGTCACTGGAGAACAAGTTCGAAACCATCTCAAGAAGTGGAGGAAGATTTGGGGAAGGGTTGTCATCACAGACAATGTATGGATGTAGTGCCATTTGGTTGCTTTTGGATATTTGGTATGTGAACAACATGTATGGCTGTAGTGCACTTTGCTTTGGATATTTGTATGCGAACAAGACATGTTTATTGGCTGATTGCTTTTGGATGTGGCAAATGAACTTCCTACCTGCTTCCTACTTAATGATATTGTTGCTGAAAATTGTGTTATATGTCAATATATATATTGTTATGTTGTTTTCCTTCAAAATACAAACGAAATGCTGCTGGAATTTTGAATTTTTGTTATTCCATTTTTCATTCCATGCTTCCCAACCAAACACTGAAACGGAACCATCCCGTTCCACTTTTTTGCTCGTACCAAACACAGGAACAGAACCGACCCGTTCCTCTGGAATGGAATCATTTCATTCCATGACAGTTGGTTCTTCAACCAAATACACCCTTACCTACTCTGGTTTTCCTTGGCAGTCTTTCCGCATCGTGAACAAGGAGTGGGAGTACTCACACAAGAAGGGCTTCAAGTGCACGTTTGAGCGTGGGATTCTTCATCTCTATTTCAACTTCAAGCGATACCGCTACAGGCGATAGATACCCACACAGCAGAAAGAACTGGATCATTGATTGGCCTATTAGAAGTTGGTTCTCTGTTTCTCGCTTGAGAGTGTTCTTACAGGATAGATCCCGCATCACAGAAGTCATCCGAGTAGGCATGCTTGAATTGGTTCCTGTACCAAAATATGAACATACCAAACAGTTGGATAGTTTGTATCAAATTTTTGTGGCACTTGCTACCTTGATTCAAATGGAGATAACGGTGTAGCACAAATTCAAAGTTTCTGTACATGTATGCTAAGCATTCTTATATGCCCTTCATGCGGGATGGATATTTTTGAAACCAACAAAAGAGACAGATATATTATGTGTTATGTGTAGTTCGAGCTAATTATTGTTAGAAGAAACATGGCCTATGCATATATAGGCTCGCACAAATTTCAGGCTGTTAGCCAGGTATACATCTTCAAAGTAGAGGAAAGAAATGAAGAGGGAAAATACATGTGCCGTCCTCGCGATCTTTGTATCTTATCTGTGTTCTGAAGCTTGTCATCTTTGTTTCTCATCTGTGTTGTGAACCTTTTTGTTTTCTGGCACAAACAGAGATTTTATTCATCCATCGACACAAAAGTAGAGCCTGAAGCTTCCAAAAAGGAACAAGTTTAGAACGGCACACAGTAAAGTGACACATGATTGTGCACTAACACGGTTAGGCTTTTGCGGTCGGTTGTATGCCTACTAACTATACCAAAACGACTTATATAGAAAGGTGCAGTCTGATGGTTTTGAGAAGTTAATCCTTTGAAGCAACACTATGGGAACTTGTGTATATGACATGGAATTCTGTCTACAAGAGTGAGAACTCTGAAAACTCTTCTGAGCAATAAGAACAAAGATGTATTGGGCAAACGCCAATTCATGGCTTACCAATTTGGATCTTTAGCCTAAGTCCAAGCCCAGCAACTCAAACAGCCTAAAGCTTACCAAAAGGAACAAGTTTACAAGGACACAAAGTGAAGTGTAGTGAAGCTTGTGACCACATTATGGGTACAAACATGCTTACCACAAACTCCATGAAATTCATAGTACTAGAAACTAAAAATCCTGCCTCTTGTGAAAACTTGTCCTTGGAAGCAACCTCTTTGAGAGCTTTGTGTTAAAACAATGGAGATGACTTTGGAAACTCTTCTGCAAAGAACCAGGAGTAAAATAAAAGACAAGCTGTTCAAAGGCCAATTCGGCTGTGGAATCTAAAACCTGCTAACAGTTTTGGATTCTGGACAAGCCCGAGTGCAAGCCAAGAGAAGCTCAAGCAAGTCGCTCCTCTGACTTGAATCCAGAACCAAAATAGTTCACCAGATCCCAGCCACAAAGCCAAAGAAGAATCAAACTTAAAGAACCCAAAGATCAGAACAGCACAGAACAATATGGCAACTAGCAAAACCACCTGGTAACTTAAACCACTTGCATTGGATAGATCTCAAGTAGAGTTGAAGGTAACAAAGACAGAGTCATAGATATCCTGGCTACTATGAACTGAACAAGATAACTATGAGCAACAGGCTCCACGGCAAAACAGATTCATCGCCATCTCAGGTTCTCTCACACACAACTCCAGGGTACGGTAGGGCAGGTCGCACAAGGAACAGCTCCACTGGAGCTCAGCAGTAGAACATGACGTCCTTGACGTTGTCCTTGATCTTTGGGAGCTGGCGCACCACCACAGGGCCCTCCCGGCGCAATCACCACCTGCCTGCTGCTCCCAGGGGTTGACCCGCCGTCTGAGCCGTTCCCTTCCATAAATAAACAAGTGGTATTGTGTTCATCAATAAACTAGCAGAGGAATGGAAACTACTCATCGATAAACTAAGGCTCATTTTCAGGAAGTGCAACAATTTAAAGCTTTAGACCAAAGGCCCTCAAGTACACAGATTCATGAAGGAATGTCAAGGAACCAGTGTGGACATTAAATGTCTACAGCTGCTAGAACTACCATCAGGGTAAGCAAACATATATACTAATCTATTATAGCAAGAGGCATAAAAGCTCAGGCAAAAATATTAATGTCCACAAGGAAATGCTCAGGCTCTGGGAGTAATTACCTTCACTCGGTGATCGCCTCCTCAATATCAAACTTATCTTCGTCTTTTGACTTGTTAACTTCGTCTTTTAAAAGTTCCTGGATAACTTTGGCCACAAAGTTTCCTAAAATTTGTGGCACTGGAACATGTGTGAAGTAAACTGGAAACTGTTTAAGGAAAGAAACTATTATCCATTTGAAAAACAAATATCCACAGAAAGCAATGAAATGTTATGGATTCTTACGATTCTTCCATGCGTCTCATAGTTCCGCAACAGCTTGAAGCAACCCCAAGGTGTATTAGGATACTGGCGATGAAGAACGTCACGCATGTAAACTATCTGAGGGTTAAAGACATAGTTGTTTTTTGCTGCCGGCCATGCCAGGCAAGATGCTCTATTGACAACCTTCTGAAACTCTATCTTCTTGCTGTCAGAAAGTGAATCATACAGTTTTAAAAGGCTGAACTGAATCCTTGCTGCATATAAAGAAAGTGAAGTTTAGTAAATACAGTTTCCTGCCAACTTAGGATGGACATTCAAATGAAAACTCACCAATTTGATGCGGACTTTTGAAGGCAAAAGAGTTTCTTTTATATCTGGCCATCCAATCTCCAGTGCACTCAGGATCCTTTAGCAGACTCAGAAAATCATCCATATACTGCAGATTGATTCCAGGCTTAACATAGATGGTCGTCAAAATTGAGTCCAGTGCTTCATCATCTCGTTGAAGAATGGAATCCCAATCAATCCTTACTGTCGGTTGCCTGTTCTCTCTGAGTACTGCCCGACCATTTATGACTACGAAATCCTTCATGCCAATCTCGCCATTCCATGATTGACGGGTCGCTTGAGCCTTCCCGAAAATGCGGGCTATGCTGTTACCTAATATACGCCCTAGAGGTGTTAAGTAATCCAAGACCTGCTCTTGATTTGCAATTTCGGGATGTGGTAGTGTTCTCCTTGCAAAGAATAGTTGCGAGAATTTGTCCACATACTCAGTAAGGGTAAACTGCTGAGTTAATGGTTTTAAACGCAGTAATTTAGGAGGCTCTGGTTCCATCCGGGGCCTTTTTGAACCCCTGCAAATTACATTGAAAGAAATGTTCAAAAATCAAGTGGTATGCCTCTAGCAGAAAGGCCTCTAGCAGAAAGGGGTACATGATTAGAGTTTTACCTACGACAGCCCCCAAGAAGTCTTGGCAGTAACTGAATTGTTGAATTATCCCTAAGACCGTATGTCTTTAACGGGTCATTATTCTTCAAAGTTATCCCGTTTCCGCGCATATAAAAGTGCTCCAAAGAAGTATCCAAGACTTCTTCAAGTTTCTGTTTAAGCTTGTAGGACTTACTATTAAGATCAATTTGCATTGGAATAGGTCCAATTGGGGAGTCAACAGTCAGATGTGTCATTACTTGTGAAGCTGCACAATATTAAACGAGTTTAGATTCTGAAAGTAGCAGCTCATTTATTTAAATAAAACAGCAAGCAGAAAACATAGATTAATAAAAAGTATGGTGTCAGCACAAGAAAAAACTAACACTGACACACAACAAATCTAAGGCTGTTACTGCTCCAATAAGGGAAGGCATAAAGCACACAGACCAAAGCAGATATTTAGATAGAAGAACAAATGGGGTCAATCTGGGAGTCTATCAGTGACATATACTAACCTGATTTATTTTCCGGTTTTTCATTTATATCAGGGGACAGACTGCGATTTTTTTCTTGAGAATCATCAATAACAATCAACGGAACATAACCTTCGTCCAATGATGTACAGGCCTTGCAACAAATAATTATGAATTAGTCAAAATGACAAACTCAATAACAAAAAGCACATAGGCCAAAGCAGAAATTTGCAACTAAATGATGCTACAGCCTTACTTCTCGGATCGTGCCATATACGCTGACAAGGAGAAGGCTCGGATGCTCTTCATCTTCCCTATCACTATATACCGTAATGATCGTCAGCCAATTCCATTAATTGGACAAGATGAAAAAGAGTGTCACGAATTGAGGCATACCTATGAAAGATTATTTTATCAGGTCTCCGGCCTGTTTTCCTGCGGATGGCAATCAGTATCTCCCTGTAGAGAAAATTATATCAGGTTTGGACCATATGGAAGTGATAATAATAGTCTTTGCCAAATGACAAAACTCACCTGATTGTGCCAATATTGGTGGTGTGTAAATGAAGTACACCGCCTGTCTCTGAACTAACAGGGGACATGACGTCGTTCTCCTTGATATTTGGCACCTCCACAGGGCCCTCTCCCAGGATCGCCTTCTTCCTGCTGCTCCTGGGGGTTGACCCGCCGTCCGAGCTGTCCCCTTCCACGTAGTAGCGCGGACGGAATGCGGCAAGATCGGCGTTGTACGCCGGTGGGACTGCATAGCAAGTTCAGCCAAGTTAGCTTCTTCTGGAAGTAAATGCCACAGGTTGTAAAATAGAACAGCTAGGTTACCAAGTCTTAAAACAGCAAGAGGGAAAGATGCTTGTTCATTCAAATGTAAACATAGATGACACAGAACAAAGGAATGGAAACTACTCAGTGTGTTCATCAATAAACTAGCAGAGGAATGCAAACTACTCAGTGTATTCATCAATAAACTAGCAAAGGAATGAAAACTACTCAGTGTATTAAACTTGTCAGGACTGCATGCTTATTTAAAGTTTTAGACCAAAGGCCCTCAAGCACAGATCCATTAAGGAGTTAAAGAAACCGGTGTGGTTCGATTGCTAACTTGCATCAGAGAAGGCACACACAGGCGGGTACAAGGTAATACTAATGCCAAATTACTACAGTACAAGTCTACAGCTGCTAGGGCTATCAGGATAAGCAAAACATACTAATTCAATAGCAGAGGCATAAGGCAGATGATGACCCTAGGCTACTAGTATTAATGCCCACAGAAGAATGCTCTACTTGGAGAGAAAAAAGTACAGATGAAAGTTGAAGCAAATTAAGGCAGAAAACTGAAACTGAAAAAGAGAACTCACCAACAGAGACCCCACGGGTGCAACGAGCATGACTGCATATGGATCAGAATTAAACCATCATCAGTCGTAATACAACAGAGAGAGAAAGAGAGAGGGGAAGAGAGAGAGGGAGGATTACGTATAGTGTCATTTATCAAGAGCAATATATATAATTTGGGGCATATACCCCTCCTCCAAAGCAGCACAGGCCTTGAAAAAGCAAAGGAGAAAACCATCATCAAAATGACAAAAGACAATGATGACATCGGGAGGTAGACCAGAACAGAAATCTGCATGTAATCATGATCCAGGCTTACCTTCCTGATTGCATTCATTTCATGAAAACGTACAGTGCTCAACTGGCCTTCACTCACACTATCCCTATATATGAGATTGATCAGTCAGTCAGTCAGTTCCATTGAATGGACAGGATGAAAAGAGTGTCCTGAATTTGTGCACACACCTGTAGAAGAGTATCCTCTCAGGCCTCCGGCCTGTCTTCCAGCGGAAGGCAATCAGTAACTCCCTGTAGAGACAATTATGTCAGGTTAGCAGTTGATCCACAGAGCAATTGCTAGCAATCGTCTCTGACTGATCACAAAACTCACCTGATCATGCCACCATTGACATTGCCCCTCTGCGGATCTTTGCTGACACTGAAGAGGTCTTCGATTATCTCCTGCCTGTGTGGTTGAGCAGAGACAAGACCTCTGTACTTGGTGATCTCTGGCCAGTCCATTGATGCCACCACCTACATAAATCAATCCAATAAAAGAAACGGATAAATATATTTATACTCAACAGGTATGTGCACGCATGATGAAAATACGATCTGAAACAAATAACTAATTGGTAAACTGTTAGCTATGGGAAAACACTAACCACAGCAATAGATGATGTGGAGTCCTCTCCAGGTGGGGGGTGTGTAACATCAGCACCAAAGATGATTGTTGGGACTTTTGTAACAGCAGGAACACCAAATCGAGCAAAGGCCTTCTCAATGGAAGGTGGCAGTCCGACCTAGTTAACACACAGAATTATCACATTCAACAGAAACCGAAGTAGACAACAAATCAACAATCCATGGAAACTGAATGTAAAACATAGACCAGTTGGTTATGTTACCTTCACATTGATTTTGAGTGCAACATTCTCCAGATATTGCTTGTTCGGTCTGGCAGCATATCTTGGCAGGTAACACTGAGACACAATCCCAAGGTCAGTCTCGCAAACCTTCTTGATTTTCCCTGCAAAATTAAACGTGGCACACACATAAATCTACAGAAATCCAAGAGAAGGTGGAAGGGGATTGACCAGAGGAGCGATATGCACACCATAAGAACCACTGATTTCAGGTAGGATTACAATTAACAGTTGTAGCTGTTTTTCGTGTCCCTGCTTGGAAAGCATTTCCGTTGTCCTCCTGTAGACATCTCTCAAAGCATTCTCAATGTGGTTGGGGCTCGCTGATCGGTTGTCTACAAGTGGCCTTGAATTGACAGACTACAGGGTTGGAATACACAAGTCAGTGAGCTGTAACATACACACATAAACCATAAATGCCTGAGAAACAGGAAAGCAATGCAAAGCCTTTACCATTCCAGTCATATTGCACATCTGAATCAGATCACAACAGAACCTGTGTACCTCCTCAGGACGCATGCGTGAAAAACTCACACAGGCCCAGTTGTCTATGATTCCTCCATTGATCATTTTCTGCAATAAGAAAACTCAAATGAGACCTATCATTTGTACCATCATCGATATACTACATACAAAATAATGAGCCAAGTCGCAAACAAGCTCAACTGTTTCTCAATTTAAGTAACTAGTGTTAACTACATGATCAACAAAGTGCAATCAAGCAAAATAATTTCAGTTGCTACATAAAAAATAATGACCTGTCCAATACATTTAGACCAAACAAAGAAGAAACTCAACAAGTTCTCCATGTATTTAGTTCCAAGAAAAAGTAATGCTTAGTAAAATTGGGAGTGAAGACACTGAACAGGGAAAAACCTTGTTAATCATGTTCCACTGTCCAACACTTGGCGCACAAGTTTTCTCCTTTCCAGAATCATGATATCTCAACTGAAACACATACGAAGGATGTGATTACTACAAATCCTTCCAATTTAAGCAGCTCAGAGAAAGGGAAAAAACTGCAGCATCCTTACCATGGGGGGAGGCAGCACACGGGCTGGAACAGAGACAAGGTCACTGCAGACATTGATTCCAAACTCCTGAGCAAACTTGTCCTCAGCATACTTGTTATGCAGAACCATCTACAGTGTGAAAAAGAGTGTTACGAGAAAGACTGCACATTACAGGCAAACATGACATATATGCCTTGAAAAGGACATTCCTAACTACATGAGTTCCAGCAGATTGGAATGAACTACCATATGTGAGAAGATATGGGGAGGTAATTACAGAATGCAGTTGACAACAGGTACATACCTCACGAATGCTTTGCTCCCTCTGCTGGGGACGTTGACAGGTAGCTCTAAGTATGTTGGCGACCTGCTTGTCATTCAGTTTCTTAGAGTACCTTTGCCCTTCAACAATCTTGCACGCCTACAATCAATTTGCAGAGAACCATGAGCAAACAGTGTATAACTCAAATATGACGAAGCAGGCGTGGATACAATACCTCCATAGGCAGATACACAGGCCGAGCATCGCTTCCAGACTGCAAGCAGGGCCAAGAAGTATACTGCAGATTGTAGTTGTATCTTTGCATGAAGTAATGAACAACTGACATTCTTGTTCCTCTCTCATCAACAGGAAATCTAACAACAAACAAAACAACACGGGTAGAGTGCTATTAGAAAGGGAATAATAATCATGGATAGATGCTAAAAAGTAAACTGTGGTCTAAACATTCATACGGAAAATTGTGAACAGGAAACAGTTGGCACAAACAGATCTTTGCTATGCTGCAGAAATCAAATGCATATGCCACACGACGAATGCTGTAAACAAAATTATTCCCCTAACCAGTTCCTGACACACCAACATCAATGAAGAAGCAATAAGCCAAAAAATCTGCACAACTACACATCTTTCTGATATTCCAGCAACCCTGATTAGTTGCACCAGAACATAGAGATAAAACACATAATGGAAAATATTATAGCATTGGAGGGAAGTTATTTACATGAGCTGGCTCATGGGAACAGGAGTAATCCCTGTTATCTTATATCTTCTGATTTGGTCTTCCTGGTGGTTTGTTTCGACACGCACCCCACGGAGTGCTTTCTTTATCTGCATATATAGTGCATAGGAACAAATTAGTCAACTATTTCAAGCCAATAACATGGCGCAATTTACATAACATGAATTCTAAAACTAGCTTAGCATGGACGAACAGTACCTTAATACGGTCCCTGTCTGTCAGAGGGCGCGAGGCATCACGTAAGTTGAGGAACTCTAGCACAAACTGGACCACTGTCACAGGCTTGAAGAAGGATGTTGCAGATATGTCTGAAAAATGAAGTGCAGATCATCAGAGTTGGGCGTAACAGTAACAGTAACAGACAGGGGAGGGGAGAGGAGTACCTATATTGAGTGACAGCCCCATCTGAGTTGGGCGTAAGCTCTGGTAGTAACCTCTCCAGCACTCTAATCCTTCACCAATGTCTCCTCTGTGACCAAAGGTGGTGGAGAAGAAGGATCTGGACACTGTGACATAGCTGCAGTGAAAAGGAATTGCCAGCAATAGTGTTAGGGCTCTAGGAAACTAGCTAGCATGATGAAGAAAAACTGATAGCAAGAAACTGCTGGAAAGTGGATGTCATACTTCCAGGATGGTGACTCCCTGAGGACAACATCAAGAACTTGGATGGTTTCTTGAGGCATATCCCTCTGTCTTCCTTTGAGAAACTGCTGGAGGTGGTACAGGTCTGTCCTCCCAGCAATCCTAATGGTGATCTTGTACTCCCTTTCAGCCCTGCAAATGAAGAGGGAGCAAGTTAGTAGCTGCAAATACAAATACAATGGATAAGCAAGTTGGACAAGATTGAAGGTAAAGAATCGAATCATACTTTTCTTTGTCTTTCTTTTCGGGATCAACCAGTGTAACAGAGAACTCCTCAGACTCAAAAGGGAGTGAGCCTGCAGTGTAGAGACTCTTTCTTCCATCATAGGCAGGCAATTTGCCGCCAAGGGATGTCTTCCCGTGCAACTTGATTAGCTCACTGAGTACCTCCCTGTTCACAGCTCTTGATTTTGACTCCGGGTTGATGGAAACCTACAGCAACACATTTCAACATCATTATGCATACAAAAACAAGAGACGCTCTGTACTCCTATGTTCTACATTCAGTACACAGAGTAGAGACAATTAGCCCTCTGATTTGTCTAATCATCTTAATTCTTGAACAAATCAAATCTATGCTACATTTGATTCAAATGAGTCGAATCGTGCATGTTGAATTAACACACCACAGAATCCAGTCAATCCGTGAGGGAAAACTACCGGATCTTGAGAAAACAGTAAACCAAAATTAGGCAATAAAGGAGATCTAGCTGCTAGTGGCATCGCAGGACTGGAAATCTGGCAAGCAAACGGCAACACATACCATGTGGTGGCGGCCTCCATTTCGACTTACAGAGCCCAGAAGAAAATACACTCGAACTATTGGAGTCAATCAAGCGGGGAAGAACTCTAGATCCCAAATCGAACACCCAAAACTGAAGGAGGGCACAGTAAAGTAAATTTTTGGGCACGGCCATCCTAGGGTTCCTGACTAAGTGCCGCGGGTGAGCAGGCCGGCGGGCAGCGCCGGAGGCGGAGAAGGGGTGGCGGCGCTGGGCGAGGAGGGGTTGAGAAGGGGTGGCGGCGCTGGGCGAGGAGGCTGTGACGGCATGGTCGGGGGAGGTGGGTGTGCGACGGGCACGCATCTTGTTGCAATCATGCGGTACAGAATACAATAAGCGGACCTGCGTACTGTGTGTATAGTAAAATAAAGGACCTGCGTACTACGTGTATATTAAAATAAAGGACCTGTATGTATACGTACTTTAAAAAAGGAGGTACCAAAAAAAATCGTCGTCAATTTACCATTTAAAAATGTACTAGAGGAATATAAAATAGTTTGGCGATAAAGGAGGTACTACATTCATACAAGAGTGTCGGACCTAGAGAACCAGGTTTGAAGCCTTTGCTCCTTAGGAAGTCTTTGAGAGTGTCATACCAAGCACGAGGAGCTTGTTTAAGACCATACAGTGCCTTGTTGAGCTTGTATACCATATCAGAATGTTTTGGATCTTCAAAGCCAGGTGGTTGTGCAACGTACACTTCTTCTTCAATATTTCCATGTAGAAAGGCACTCTTCACATCCATTTGGTACAGAAGGATGTTGTGATGGTTGGCATAGGCTAGCAGTATGCGAATGGCTTCAAGCCTTGCCACGGGAGCAAATGTTTCATCGAAGTCAATTCCTTCTACTTGAGTGTAACCTTGAGCAACTAGACGAGCCTTGTTTCTGACAACTTGACCATGCTCATCTTGTTTGTTGCGATAGATCCATTTGGTGACAATGATATTGTGCTTGCGAGGATCAGGACGCTTGGCCAGTTCCCGTACATTGTTTAGCTCGAAACGATGAAGCTCTTCTTGTAGCTTGAATCCATTCAGGTTCCATAAAGGCTTCAGCAAATTTCTTGGGTTCAGATATAGAGACAAATGCAAAGTGCCCACAGAAATTTGCTAGTTGTGTTGCTCTTGAACGAGTGAGTGGACCAGGTGCATTGATGCTATCAATTATCTTCTCAATCTGTACTTCATTTGCAACATGGGGATGAACTGGACGAAGATTTTGCACTTGCAGATCATTGTCTTCAACTTCAGTATTAACTTCAGGCTGAGCATTGTCTTCAGGTTGACTAGGTGCAATGATGAGGTCGTCTTCAGCCTAAGCTTCTGAAGGTATGATTTCTCCAGTACCCATTAACTTGATAGATTCACTAGGAGGGACTTCATCTAGCACATTTGACACATGCTCTCTTTGCGAGTCGTTAGTCTCATGGGACCGCACAACCACAGTTTCAACCACTTTATAGTGAAAGAGGTTGAAGACTCTGTAGGAGTGCGAATCCTTTCCGTATCCAAGCATAAAACCTTCATGTGCTTTCGATGCAAATTTTGAAGGTGATGTGGATCCTTGATCCAGCACCTGGCACCAAATACTCTAAAGTAACTGACGTTTGGCTTCTTACCAGTTAGGAGCTCATATGATCTCTTCTTTAGAAGCTTGTGAAGATATACATGGTTGATGACATGGCATACAGTATCAATGGCTTCGGGCCAGAACTTCCATGGAGTCTTGTACTCATCAAGCATCGTCCGAGCCATCTCAATGAGGGTTCTGTTCTTGCTCTCCACGATACCATTCTGTTGAGGTGTGTAAGGAGCTGAAAACTCATGAGTGATGCCCACTGTATCAAGATAAGTGTCGAGGCCGGTGTTCTTGAATTTTGTGCCATTGTTACTTCTGATGTGTTTGATCTTGACGCCATAGTTCGTCATGGCATGATTGGCGAATCGTCTGAAGACATCCTGCACTTCAGTCTTGTAGAGAATTATATGCACCCATGTATATCTTCAGTGATCATCAACAATGACGAAGCCATAGAGACAAGCAGTGGTAGTAAGAGTAGAGTAGTGAGTAGGGTCGAATAAGTCCATGTGAAGTAGCTCGAAGGATTGTGATGTCGTCATGATTGTCTTTGAGGGATACTTGGCCCTAGTCATCTTCCTAGCTTCACAGGCACCACACAGATGATCCTTGTTGAACTTGACGCCCTCAATGCCCAGGACATGCTTCTTCTTTGTGAGAGTGTACAAGTTCCGCATACCCGCATGGCCTAGCCTCCGATGCCAGAGCCAGCACTCTGAAGCTTTTTCTAGAAGACATACGGCTAACTATGGTCTAGCTGAGAAATCTACCATATACAGATCATCTTTTTGATACCCTTCAAAGACTAGAGATTTGTCAGATTCCATAAGGACAAGGCAACGATATTTTCCAAATATCACAATCATGTTCAAATCACATAGCATTGACAAAGACATTAAGTTGAAACCAAGGGATTCAACAACCATCACTTTATCCATGTGCCGATCCTTTGAGATTGCAACTCTACCAAGACCCAATACCTTACTTTTACCAGTGTCAGCAAATGTGATGTGACTTTTATCAAATGGGCATAGGGTTGAATCCATCAGAAGACTTTGATCACCAGTCATGTGGTTGGTGCAGCCACTATCCATAATCCATTCTGAAGCCTTTGGTGCCATATCCTATAGTACAGTTTGGGGGATATGCTTCACCAAGAGAGTTGTGAAGCAGAAACATTTGACGAACAAGCGGAACATGAAAGTCCAGATCTTGGTTAGGATAAACAGGATGAGTGTCAAGGAATCCCGGGATGAAATACATAGTAAGACCATTTGGACATTTTATCTTGCGTCCCACAAGACGTTTAAGGTCCCCAGCATAAGCATCAGACGCCTTTGATTTCCGGCTAGAGACCTTTCCCTGCAAAAGAGAGTTAAGTTTTTTTAACCACCCACATCTTCAGGGGTGGCTTAGAAGCAATGAGTCTAAGTGCAACATCTGAGAATTTCGGCTTTGGAGCCCTAGCAAATAGCCTTGCAGGAGGAGAATAATACTCATAAGAATAAGCAGAAAAGTTTTTAGACTTATGAACATAGCGGTTTGATGAAGCACGCTCATATTCAAAAGTCTGAGTATGGTTTCCCTGCAAAACATTGGTGTTAGGGTGACTCAGGTGAGTCCTCTGTCTGTTTGAGGCCTTTGGACCATATGAAGCCTTTGGTCCGGGATTTGTCTTCTTCCCTGGTGGTGTCATGATGACATTCACGGGAAGACTTTTGAGACAAGGTTTGGGTACCCAGATCTTCTTAAGAGGTGCCCCATTCCTGCAGTTAGTACCAATATACCTAGCAAACACTTCACCATTCTGATTCCTGAACAGTTTATAGTTTGCATGAAAGGATTCATCAATGATAACTGGGTTAGCACTAGTGAAGCCAGATAAGGTAGATGGGTCTACTGAAGGTCCCTAGGCAGCAACCCATGTGGTTTTGGGGTACTGCTCAGGCATCCAGTAAGAACCATCAACATTCATTTTCCTCTCGAACCCAACACCCTCTTTCCTAGGGTTTCGGTTCAGAATCTGCTTTTTGAGGACATCACATAGTGTCTGATGCCCTTTGAGACTTTTGTACATTCCTGTCTCAAGCAATGACTTCAACCTGGCATTCTCATTAGAAACAGTAGTGGTATCCTCAGTAGAGGGGTTAGTTACCACATTAGCAGTTGAAGATATTGCAACAGTAGCAGCAGTTGAACATTCAGCAACAAAGGCATCATTATCACGCTCAAGACATTTTATACATGGTGGTTCAAATCCTTCCTGAGCGGAACTGATCTGTTGAGCGCGAAGTGACTTGTTAATTTCTCAAGATCTTGCTTCCTTTGAAGATAATCATAGCAGAGCTTTTCATGAGAAGTTGAGAGTGTTTCATGACGACTTTCAAGTTCCTCGTACTTAACATGAAGATTTTTAATGTCTCCAATTAAGGACTGAGTTCGGTTCATTTCTGCGTACAACAGGTCATCGTTTTTGTCTACCAACTTTTGAATATGTTCCATGGCACTCTGTTGTTCAGTTGCAAATTTAGCAAGTGTTTTGTAGCTAGGTTTAGATTCACATTCAGAGTCATCTTCACTTGATGTTTGAAAGTAAGCATCGCGTGAGTTTACCTTGGCACCACGTGCCATGAAGTAGTAGGTGGGAGCAGAGTCATCCTCATCCTTGACATCAGCGTTGGTGACGAGGCCATTGTCTTCAGCTTTGAAGATGGATTTGGCGACATACGCAGAAGCTAGAGCCAGGCTTGCTACTCCAGAATCAGATTCCTCTTCAGACTCCACCTCTGCCTCCTCAGATGTAGACTCCTCCTCTGAATCCATCTCCTTGCCAACAAATGCACGAGCCTTGCTTGATGAGCTCTTCTTGTGTGATGAAGACTTCAATGAAGATTTGGAAGAAGACTTTGAGTATTTCTTCTTCTTCTTGTCATCAGAATCATATTCCTTGCTCTTCTTCTTCTTCTTCTTTGTCTCATTGTGTGTTGCGACCATAGTTGCGACCATAGATATCTCTTTTCTCAAATAGCTGGAACTCATGTGTGTTGAGCCTCTCAAGTATGTCAGAGGGATCGGGAGTCTTGAAGTCAGGGCGCTCTTGAATCATCAGGGACAGGGTGTCAAATGAGCTGTCAAGAGATCTCAGAAGTGTCTTGACGATTTCGTGCTTGGTGATCTCAGTGGCGCCGAGCGCATGAAGCTCATTGGTGATATCAGTGAGGCGATCAAATGTGAGCTGGACATTCTCATTGTTATTTCTCTTGAAGCGGTTGAAGAGATTGCGAAGAACACTGATCATTGAATCTCTCTGTGTTGAGACGCCTTCGTTGACCTTGGAGAGCCAGTCCCAGACCAGCTTCGCAGTTTCCAGAGCACTCACACAACCATACTGCCCTTTGGTTAGA